CATCACAGGAAACAGGAACAGGGCACGGGGAGCTAGAGATCATCCAGCAACTTGAGGAAATGATGAACCTCCTTATAAAGGTCATCTGGCACGAAACTGAGGCTGATGTGTACTTCTACGGCCATGCAGAGTACTGGCAGAAATGCCAGATCTTCCAGAACCTCTGCCGTGGACAGGACCCTGACAGTGGGGTTAATCAGAGGCACTGTAAATGATGGGGGTGTGTACTGACTCCTATTTAATATGATTTTGCATGTGATTTCTTCATTCTGAACACAGCTACATCCCCAGTTAAAAGAGGGTGTGAACACTTATGCAACCACATTATTTTAGTTTTTTATGTGTACTCCCCCTCCCAAAAGATTTCAGTTTGTTGTTCAGCTGAGATGTACAGTTTATAGATCACATTAAAGGTGGAAAAAGTCCTGAAATTATTTATCTTTGTCTAATTTTTTTTTCTTACATCCCAGAAACCTGACATTTTAACAGGGGTGTGAAGACTTTTTATAATCACTGTAAATGTGTAATATACATATACGTATATGTAAAGTGCTGCGTAAATTGAAGGCGCTATACAAGTACCTGTAATAAATAATGATACAGAGAGATAAATATCGAGACACGAGGTCGCTGTCTGTGGGACCTTGGCAGAAGGACATCTCCAACCAACAAACCTTCAGGAACATTTATTGGCTCCTTCAAATTATTTTACCGAATTAAATTGTTTGTTTTTTTAGCTTTTTTTTTTCTTTTACGTAATGAAAGGTTAAAACAAAAACGTAATTAAACCCAAAAATGTCACAAACTGCAGTTTATTAGTCGTTAGACGTCATCGCGTAGTTTGCAGGCCTGTTTTCTTCTATTTTCACCGGTTGATCCTGCCACTTCCTGTCCGAGGGTGACAACGTTCACTCAGCCTTCTGTAGCAGGACAGCAGAAACAAGACAGGGCTAGAGAGACATTTGTTTCGTTTAGATCCCTTATTTAAGTAAATTTGTTTGGCTAAATTTGTTTTGTTGCGTTTATTCCTTTTTGAATTTGATTCAAATTTTGAGAATTCGGTCGGACTGAATTTAATTTGGCCGAATCAAAAAAGTATCACATTTGAATCTACAGTATTCTATTCTAAATTTGAATTTCAGAAGATATTTATTTTCTATTCTACTGTTTTTTTATTCTAATCTATTCTATTTTCTATTCAATTTTATTTTATTCTTTTCTATTCTATACTTTTATTTTCTATTCTTTTTAACTGTATCCTTTTCTATTGTATTCTTTTCAAAATTTGAATATTGGAAGGAAGCCATGTTCTATTCTACTTTGTTCTACTTCTTTTCTATTACATTCTTCTATTTTCTCTTCTTTTCTATTCTATTTTATTCTGATCTTTTATTTTTTATCATATTCTAATTTTTCTGTTCTATTCCTTTATATTCAATTATTTTTTTTTCTATTCTGTTATGTTTTTCTGTATTCTTTTCTATTCTTTTTGAAATTTTAATTTCAGAAGGGAGCTATGTTCTATTCTAGTCTATTTTCTATTCTATTATTGTGTAATATATTTTATGTTTTCTATTTTTTTTTATTCTATTGCTTTCTTTTCTATTACATGCTAATATATTTTTATTTTTTCTATTCTATTCAATGCTATCCTTGTCTATTCTAATATATTCTTTTCTATTCAATTTCTTTCTATTCTATTATTTTATTTTCTATTATATTCTGTTTTACTCTATTCTATTATTTTCTTTTCTATTATATTCCTGGCGGCGATCAGCGATTTAAACCAGAACTGCAAGACTGCGGTGGGCATACTGACACTGGGGGGGAACTGACTAACTGCCACTGACATCCCCAGTGACACCAATACAGTGATCAGTGCTAAAAAAAAGCCCTGACATTGTAATTATGACACTGGGCAGGAAGGGGTTAACATGAGGGGCGATCAAAGGGTTAACTGTGATCTGGGCGTGGTACTAGGGGGCGGGGTCTGTGTGCTTCACTGTAAGCACATTGCTTTGGATGGTTGTGCTGTGCAGTGTGCCAGAGCCGACAGGGAGGAAGACTGCTAGTAAACAAAACATTCCTCCTCCCCTTTGGCGATCCTTGGGAATCACTGGGTGCCAGCGAGTAATCACCGGCCGGGACCTGGTGATTGACAGCCACGTAGCTCAGGGGCGCCCCCTGCCCAGAGATGCAAAATCACATATATATATACAGTTGCAAGAAAAAGTATGTGAACCCCTTGGGATTACGTGGAGTTTTGCATGAATTGGGCATAAAATGTGCTCTGAACGTCATCTAAGTCACAACAATAGAAGAACACAGTCTGCTGAACATAATACTGCACAAACATTAGATGTTGCCATGGTTTAATTGCACATAACATGTAAACATTCACAGTGCAGGGAGGAAAAAGTATGTGAACCTTTGGACTTAATAACTGGTTGACCCTCCTTTGGCAGCAATAACCTCAACCAAACGTTTCCCGTAGTTGCAGATCAGACCTGCACAACCATCTGGAGTCATTTTGGAGCACTCCTCTTCACAAAACTGTTTCAGTGTAGCAATATTCTTGGGATGTCTGGTGTGAATCGCTCTCTTAAGGTCATGCCACAGCATTTCAATGGGGTTGAGGTCAGGACTCTGACTGGGCCACTCCAGAAGGTGTATTCTGTGCTGTTGCAGCCATTGTTTTGTTGAATTACTTGTATGCTTTGGGTCATTGTCCTGTTGCATCATCCATCCTCTGCGGAGCTTCAGTTGGCGGACAGATGGTCGTACGTTTTCCTGCAAAATGTCTTGATAAACTCTGGAATTCATTTTCCCATCAATGACAACAATCCGTCCAGGCCCTGAGGCAGCAAAGCAGCCCCAAACCATGATGCTCCCTCCGCCATGTTTCACAGTGGGGATGAGGTTTTGATGTTGGTGTGCTGTGCCTTTTTTTCTCCACACATAGTGTTGTGTGTTCTTCCCAAACAACTCAATCTTGGTGTCATCTGTCCACAGTATATTTTGCCAGTAGTGCTGTGGAACATCCAGGTGCTCTTTTGCAAACTTCAAACGTGCTGCAATATTCTTTTTGGCCAGCAATGGCTTCCTCCGTGGTGTCCTCCCATGTACTCCATTCTTGTTTAATGTTTTCCTTATTGTAGATGTGTCAACAAAAATGTTAGCATGTGCCAGAGATTTCTGTAGGTCTTTAGCTGACACTCTGGGATTCTTCTTTACCTCATGCAGCATTCTGCGCTGTGCTCTTGCAGTCATTTTTACAGGACGACCACGCCTAGGGAGAGTAGCAACAGTGCTAAACTTTCTCCATTTGTAGACAGTCTGTCTTACCGTGGACACATGAACATCAAGGCTCAAGGAGATACTTTTGTAACCCTTTCCAGCTTCATTCAAGTCAACAATTCTTGATCGTAGGTCTTCTGAGAGCTCTTTTCTGCGAGGCATGGTTCACATCAGACAGTGCTTCTTGAAACCAGTAAAACCAAAACAGGTGTGTGTTTTTTAAGGACAGGACAGCTGTCAGCAACACATCCAATATCATCACACTGATTGGAGTCAAGGTTGGCTCACTCCTGGCTCCAATTATCTCTGGGAGAAGTCATTAAGCTAGGGCCTCACATACTTTTTCCTCAATGCACTGTGAATGTTTACATGTTATGTGCAATTAAACCATGGCAACATCTAATGTTTGTGCAGTATTATGTTCAGCAGACTGTGTTCTTCTATTGTTGTGACTTAGATGACGTTCAGAGCACATTTTATGCCCAATTCATGCAAAACTCCATGTAATCCCAAGGGGTTCACATACGTTTTCTTGCAACTGTATACACACACACACACACACACATGTGATTTTGTGCACCCGTGCCGCCCTGTAGCAGTATTTCTGCTATAGGGTGGTCGGGAAGCGGTTAAAGTATCAGAACGACAGCGAGAACCTCTAGTTATCTGTCAAACTATAGATATCATCATCTGTGCCCCACCGGGGTGTAGTAATCTGGAGAAAAACAAAATGGCAGTAGACTAGTGCAAAGACTGCCTAAAGATGGTTTGTGATACATCCCATGCGGAGTAATGGATCACTACATAGGTGAATGCAATATTGGATTTATTAGATCTCATAGATCATAGAAAAGGGTAGACAAGGACATGGTGAACATAGTACAATCCTGTTTATAGAATCAAAGAATTAAATTAAAAAAACGTTCGGCGTCTTCAATTTAGCTGTGTGGCCAATGAATGATCAATATGAGGCTGTAAAGATTCTTCTGTGTTCCTCAGATGAGGTTTCCATACTTCTTAACCTAATCAATTTGTATTTCCTCTTAAAATAAGCTTCAAGGCATATATGGAGAGGTTCCTAGCGTGGGCGGACTGACAACTCATGGGGCCCCCGGGCAATAGGAGATCATGGGGCCCCTGTGTCCTTGCCCACACTCAAAAAAGCCTATGAAAAAGGTACCAGGGGCATCTCATGGGGCCCCCTACTGACCCCGGGCCCTCAGGCAGTGGCCGAGTTTCCAAATGGTCAGTCCGCCCCTGGTTCCTAGGAATAAACAGTGGAATGTGACGAATTCAAAAGAATCAAAAAGATTGTCGTCATAACAACCTCGTAGGATGCACATGTGGGAATCTGATCGCTGATTACATATTTATCTCATTACCTTCTGAGTGAGTGTCCCAGATCTTGTAAATGGTGAATATAAATCTCCTTGTATGACCAAGAGTGGTGGATAATAATCCAAAAAATGAAATGTGTTAAGTTTCTGAAATAAATGAAGAAAATGAGTGAAATAGTATATAGTGATACATAAGTGTAGCTCTTATATTGAATATAATGAATTTACCACATTGGAAACCTGGTCAGTTCTCACCGATGAAGGGGAAAACATTTGTATATCGGTAATGATGATGGAATCCAAGAAGTAAGTAGTATGGAAGTCTCTATAAGTTGCATTCAAACGTTCATGTTTCCTTAGGATGTGCCCCTTTAAGGGTTCCGAAAATGTCTCTTATTCAAGAGCTGATACGGTTCCTATACGGATACGTGAGACTAAAGTCCCATATCAGAGGTAGTAAAACAAATGGTATTAACCACTTACAGTCCGGACACTTTCCCCCCCTTCCAGTCCGGACACTTTCCCCCCCTTCCAGTCCGGACACTTTCCCCCCTTCCAGTCCGGACACTTTCACCCCCTTCCAGTCCGGACACTTTCCCCCCCTTCCAGTCCGGACACTTTCCCCCCTTCCAGTCCGGACACTTTCACCCCCTTCCAGTCCAGACACTTTCCCCCCCCCTTCCAGTCCAGACACTTTCCCCCCCTTCCAGTCCAGACACTTTCCCCCCCTTCCAGTCCAGACACTTTCCCCCCCTTCCAGTCCCGACACTTTCTCCCCCTTCCAGTTCGGACACTTTCCCCCCCCCTTCCAGTCCAGACCCTTTCCCCCCCTTCCAGTCCAGACACTTTCCCCCCCTTCCAGTCCAGACACTCTTTTCCCCCCTTCCAGTCCCGACACTTTCTCCCCCTTCCAGTCCCGACACTTTCACCCCCTTCCAGTCCCGACACCTTCCCCCTCTTCCAGTCCCGACACTTCCCCCCCTTCCAGTCCCGACACTTTCCCCCCCTTCCAGTCCCGACACTTTCCCCCCCTTCCAGTCCAGACACTTTCCCCCCCTTCCAGTCCAGACAATTTCACCCCCTTCCAGTCCAGACACTTTCCCCCCCTTCCAGTCCAGACACTTCCCCCCCCTCCCTCCAGTCCCGACACTTTCTCCCCCTTCCAGTCCCGACACTTTCCCCCCCTTCCAGTCCCGACACTTTCCCCCCCTTCCAGTCCAGACACTTTCCCCCCCTTCCAGTCCGGACACTTTCCCCCCTTCCAGTTCGGACACTTTCACCCCCTTCCAGTCCGGACACTTTCCCCCCTTCCAGTCCCGACACTTTCCCCCCCTTCCAGTCCGGACACTTTCCCCCCTTCCAGTCCGGACACTTTCCCCCCTTCCAGTCCGGACACTTTCCCCCCCTTCCAGTCCGGACACTTTCCCCCCCTTCCAGTCCGGACACTTTCCCCCCCTTCCTGACCAGGGCAATTTTCAGCTTTCAGCACTATCACACTTTGAATGACAATTGCGCAGTTTTGCAACTCTGTACCCATATGAATTTTTTTACCATTTTTTGAGACAGATAAAACTTTATTTTGGTGGTATTTATTCACCGCTGGATTTTTATTTTTTTTGCTATATAAATTAAAAAGTCCAAAAATTTTGAAAAAAGTGTTTTTCTTATAAAATAGTGCAAATAAATAATCTTTCATCATAAATCTTTGCCAAAATGTATTCCGTTATCTTTTCAGTAAAACAAAAAAAACCGCCAAAATTAGTTTATAACCAAAAATTATAATTTTTAAACATCTTTTTTACATTTTAATTTTATTTTTTATATTATTATTTATGTTTTTTTGTTTTTTTTTTTTACATACTGTCACCCTAGCAGTACAGGGTCACCATGGTGACACTGTACTACTTGTGGGGAGTGATTTTTTTTTTTACAGTGATTGCTTTTAAACCCATATAGGATGTAAAAGCAATCATTTCTCCTTCTCTCTGGCTGCATTCTTGCACCCATTGAGAAATACTGTGTGAGCTGTGATTGGTCACAGCTTGCCACATGGTACAAGGCTGTTGTGAATGGCCCTGTACCATGTGATCTCTGTGATTATTCACAGATTTCACACGTAGTAAGCAAAGATGTCAGAAGTGACTTCTTGCTTACTACTTTGCATGTGATCACTGATTGGCCAATCAGTGATCACATGATCGGGACCTCGTACAGAGGTCCCGTCCGACGATCGGTGTTTCACTGTGTCCGGAGGACACAGTGGGCATCGGATCGCGGTGCTGCGCACTCCCAGTGCGCACAGCTAGAAATAGCAGGTGTCGTTTATGAAACGGAAACCCGCCCCTGAGTGCCACCATACTGGCGTTTAAAAACAGTAGGAGGACGGCAGGTGGTTAAATATACCTATTGAATCCAAAAATTCCCCTCCAAGCAGAGCTCAATGACCCTATTGTGGCCTGGGGTATATATTGTCCCGTATCAAAAAATTGCGCTTTATAATGACTCAGCTTAATATTATGTACTTGCCACCGGTGGAAGTGAACGGAGTCACCTAAAATCGCCCCCCATAGTACTCCTTAGAGTAATTGCATTGTGGTTTTCTGTTTGCCTCGTGTTTATCCAAGATGGAGCTGCACCACTTGCTTCTTTCCCCTGTTGGATACCGCAGCATATGAAGACGCCGTGCGTGATGATGTCATTACGTTGAGGCGTTTTATCGGCCAATCATCACAGGCTTCGTCAGAACTGGGAAGGGACATCTCTCCATAGTGCCTTTATAATTGCGCCTTTTTAAAGTCATGTCGCCCTCTTGTGTTGAAATGTCATCACTACATTGAAATCCAAAATTCCACAGAAAAAACATATATGAATGAGAAAGAACATCAGAAAGATAGCCAGATACAATCTGATCTATTCCAGATTATATTTTCCATTTATATATATATATCAGATAGCTTTATGGATATTAATATATAACTTTATAAGTATCTTAATTTTCAACGTTCTTTATTTTAATCTGTTCTTTTATTCTTTTAGTTCAAAAATACTTTAAAATTTAGTTCAGTATTTAATCCAAATGGTAATAGAGTACCTAATGTATATATCCAGAATTTCTTTTTTGTAAAAGTATTTTATCAAAATCTCCTCTCCTTGAAGAAATATTTAGGAGGAAATTCCCTTTTACCTTAAAACCTTCCTTTTTCCCTTGATGTATATCCTTGAACTGCTTCCATACTACTTACTTCTTGGATTCCATCGTCATTACCGATATACAAATGTTTTCCCCTTCATCGGTGAGAACTGACCAGGTTTCCAATGTGGTAAATTCATTATATTCAATATAAGAGCTACACTTATGTATCACTATATACTATTTCACTCATTTTCTTCATTTATTTCAGAAACTTCAACTTAACACATTTCATTTTTTGCATTATTATCCACCACTCTTGGTCATACAAGGAAGTTTATATTCACCATTTACAAGATCTGGTACACTCACTCAGAAGGTAATGAGATAAATATCTAATCAGCAATCAGATTCCCACATGTGCATCCTACTAGGTTATTATTATTATTATTATACAGTATTTATAGTTCGCTCAGTGCTGTACATTACAAACGGGGACAGAACATGTGACAGAACAATACCAATACAATGCAAAACATGAGGGGATCGAGGGCCCTGCTCCTTGGAGCTTACAATCTAGGAGGGAGGGGATGGTGGTACAGGAGGAGATAGCTGTGGGGGATGGAGTGGTAGGAAGAGTGGAGGAGGTCGGCAAGTTAGCAGGGGGTGGGGTAGGCTTCCCTGAAGAGATGGGTTTTCAGGGTGCGCCTAAAGGAGAGGAGAGTAGGTGATAGTCTGATGGGTTGGGGCAGGGAGTTCCAGAGGATGGGTGACACCCTGGAGAAGTCCTGGAGGTGGGCATGGGAGGAGGAGACCAGGGAACTAGAGAGAAGGAGGTCTTGTGAGGAGCGGAGTGTGCGTGTTGGGCGGCACTTGGATATTAGGTCAGTGATGTAGTTCGGGGCAGTATGGTGGACAGCTTTGTACATCAGTGTTAGGATTTTGAATTTGATCCGTTGCGCAATCGGAAGCCAGTGGAGGGATTGGCAGAGGAGGGTGGAGGACATTGAGTGGAGGCCAGTGGAGGGATTGGCAGAGGGGTGTGGAGGACACTGAGTGGAGGCCAGTGGAGGGATTGGCAGAGGGGGGTGGAGGACTGAGTGGAGGCCAGTGGAGGGATTGGCAGAGGGGGATGGAGGACACTGAATGGAGGCATTGGCAGAGGGGGGTGGCGGAAACGGAGCAGTTGTAAAGGTGAATGAGTCTGGCAGCCGTATTCAGGATAGACTGAAGCGGGGATAGCCAGCGGCGAGGCAGGCCAGTGAGGAGTGATGATGACGACAATCTTTTTGATTCTTTTGAATTCGTCACATTCCACTGTTTATTCCTAGGAACCAGGGGTGGACTGACCATTCGGAAACTCAAGCACTGCCCGAGGGCCCGGGGTCAGTAGGGGGCCCCATGAGATGCCCCTGGTACCTTTTTCATAGGCTTTTTTGAGTGTTGGCAAGGACACAGGGGCCCCATGATCCCCTATTGCCCGGGGGCCCCATGAGTTGTCAGTCCGCCCCCTGCTAGGAACCTCTCCATATATGCCTTGAAGCTTATTTTAAGAGGAAATACAAATTGATTAGGTTAAGAAGTATGGAAACCTCATCTGAGGGACACAGAAGAATCTTTACAGCCCCATATTGATCATTCATTGGCCACACAGCGATCTATGAGATCTAATAAATCCAATATTGCATTCACCTATAGTAGTGATCCATTACTTACTCGCATGGGATTTTATCACAAGCCATCTTTAGGCAGTTCTTTGCACTAGTCTACTGCCATTTTGTTTTTCTGAACTTAATTAGAAGAAACTAATAGAAGTGAGAACGGTGAAGATATTATGGGATATACAGTTGTGACCAAAAATTATTCAACCCCAACTGCTGTAAAGGGTTTAGGGACTATAGGGTACATTTGGAATGTATTCAGAATGCAAATCCTACAGGCGTTGTAACTACCCAAATGCAACTAAAATGACATCAATTGTTTATGTAATACAGTAGTAAATGTTCTTATGTTCTTATGTGGTTTCTTTTCATTGCCACCAATTATATCAACCCCTTAAAGATACCACTCTGATGAACAGAGGTTCATACAGGTGCTTTACCATCAGGTATTGAAAACACCTGTGGATGTCACCCGAGACAGCAATCAAAAAGCATAATAAGCCACCAATTAGGCAGCTTTAAAATGACTGTGATACTCATGTGGGGGGGGGTGATAGCAGCTCCACTAGAAAGTGGAGGCCCAGTTACGTGGTGTGGTTCCAAAGGGATGGTGAAAGGCAAGAGAATGGTCCAGGAAGACAATTTCTTCAGAGGAGGTGATTTCTTGCTCTTCACCCCAGGAAGGGCAATGGCTATAAGGAAGATTGGTAAAGATGTTAAAAACTGAATACCAAGAGTACACCTTAGGAAGCATCATTCGCAAATTCAAGGCAAAGGGCCCACTGTTGAAAACGCTACCTGGTCGTGGCAGAAAGAAATGCTGTCTGACTTCGACTGCTTGTGGCTAAGGGTACCTGAAGTGGTAGAGTGGAGGGAGAAGTCCCCGTGGACACGGAAATGCTGAGGGCCCAGTGAGAGGGGAAAATATTGTCAGATGTGGGTACAGAATGGGGTTTCAGCCCAGGACAGGAGAAGACGCACAACGTGGCGTAATGAAGGCCTCCGTGCCAGAACTCCAGGCGTACCCCCTAGTTGCTGTCTCCAAAGACATAGAAGAGTCGACTGCAGTATGCAAATTGCCATGTGGGGTGGAAAACAACAAGTTGTGAGGATAGGTGGTTGTGGAATGATGAAACAAAATTAGAACTGTTTGGGGCCCATGGATCAACGCTATGTTGGAGGAGGAAGAACCAAGGCCTATGAAGAAAAGATCACCATGCCTATGTTGAATAGCATGGATTAATTTTGGGTGGAGGGTC